GGGCACATGCCCAGGTTGCAGGCTCGATCCCCAATAGAGGGCGTGCAGGAGACAGCCCATCAATGATTCTCTCATCATTGATGTTTCTATCTCCCTCTCCCTCTCCCTTTCTCTCTGAAAACAATAAAAAATAAAAAAATTAAGAGGTCGAGAGACTTACTGGACCTGGTCCCTATCCTCCCCAACACACACACACACACACACACACACACACACACACTCCACCGTGTTCTTGTAGCTCTTTGGAAAAAGCGCAGGCTGAGGATGCAAGAATGCCCTTTTTGAGTTAAACGAGTCCACATGCAGTTCCAGGGGAGGGGTCTGGCTCAGAGACTGTTATTCTCCATCTCAGGGGTGTGGGCAGGGAAATGGTGACACATCCAAGGTGAAGGACACATGCAGTGGAGTAAGCACAGCGCCAGGGGAGAGGGAAAGTGTGGTCGGCATCCCAGGAAAATACACACACCCTCCCGCGGGGAGAGGCTGTGGAAGAAACAGACAGTGGAATCGGTCCTTTTCCTCCTCCTCCGCGGGGAAACAGCTCTGGGTGTGACTTCAGGGAACAATGAGGGGAGGGGCGAGGACAGAAGGGAGCCTCGGAGCTGCCCACACAGGACGCTGGAACTGGGGAACAGGGAATGGGCGGGGAAGCAGGAAGAGGTAATGGAATTCCTTGAAGTCCTAAGAGTTAGGGTTCCATCCAGCATCGTGTCATCTCTGGAGGCAGAATAGGCCAAGCAGGAAGGGGTAATGGAACTCCTTGAAGTCCTAAGAGTTAGGGCTCCATCCAGCATCGTGTCATCTCTGGAGGCAGAATAGGCCACAAGGCGACCAGCGTGATGTGCCAGCGCTGCTCTGAGGATCGGAGCTGCTCTTTCTTCTGCATCTTTCCTGGGAAGGGGTGGGGCACCTGAACACAAAGGTGCTATAGACAGGCCTCCCCTTGTGCTCAGCGGTGCCAGGCCCCGCTCACTCCTGCTCTCCCCGATGTGCTGCTGCAGCTCCCTCTCCTCTCCTGGCCCTGGCACGGCTCAGAAGGGCGCCTCCGAGGAGAGCCAGGCCGATCCCTGGCTGCCAGCTGGGTCGCAGGAGCCTGTGCCCTCGCACAGACGCGGAGGGAAGACCAGGGCACAAACCTGTGGGCATCTTCCCTCCCTGCCGTTGAGGCCAATGCCTGTCCCATGGAAGAGGCTTGAGCCATCTTCCAGGCAATCCCCCCGCATAGCAAGAGGTGATAAACATTCATGCTCCTGTTTTGGGAATTAGCCTCACCTTTCTCTGTGTTATCTGGTGGCTTTCCAGACTCCCTTCCTCATTGTCACCCTGAAGAATCCCAGCCCGGTGACCAGGGCCCGACCTGAGAGCAGTTACCTGCCACCTCTCCCAGCGGAAGGGGCCTGCAGACCCCCCACGATAAACATTCACGCTCCTGCTTTGGGGATTAGCCTCACCTTTCTGTGTGTTATCTGGTGGCTTTCCAGGCTCCCTTCTCATTGTCACCCTGAAGAATCCCAGCCCGGTGACCAGGGCCCGACCTGAGAGCAGTTACCTGCCACCTCTCCCAGCGGAAGGGGCCTGCAGACCCCCCAGAGCCCACACCACAGGGCAGCAGCTAGGGGGTCGGAAGAAGTCATGTCCACCTCCCGGCTGACTGCAGGCCTCGCTCCACCCCATCAGAGCCTTCGCAGGCCCTGCTCCTGCCCCTGCTCCTGCCCCGTTCACACCCTGTAGCCCCCTTAGGGTCCCCAGAGATGCCACCTGTGTAAGGCTGCAGGATGAGCTACACCGTTTATGGGGCCTGTACAAAATGAAAATGCAGGGCCTCTTGTTCAAAAATTAAGCATTTGCCCAGCTGGTGTGGCTCAGTGGTTGAGCACTGACCTATAAACCAGGAAGTCACGGTTTGATTCCCCATCAGGGCACATGCCCGG